ACCTGAGAAAGGGAACAATCCAGCTGGGCAGTTTGTGTGTGTCCTGGACGGCCATTGTCTCGGGGGCTTGGTCTATGCAAGAGGTGGGAAGGTATTCTATGGTGATTCTGCGCGACTGAAAGATTTCCAATACCGAGGCTAGGCAAGCCAGAGCGTCGGCATGCGCGTTCTTGTCTCGGGACACTTGTTTGATCTCGATCTTTTTGAATTTACGGATTACAGTCGTCGCCTTGTGATGGTAAGCCTTCATCCTAGGGTCCCTTGTCTCAAACTCTCCGTTAACTTGGTTGACTACCAGCATGGAATCGCAATGTACGATCAAGTTCGTAACCCCAGTTGCCTCAGCTAACCGAAGTCCCGAGATGAGAGTCTCATACTCAGCTTCATTATTGGATGCTTTGAATCCCAGCCGAATGGCCTGCTCCTCGACCATCCCATCTGGAGAGACTAGCAAGATACTGATCCCGACGCCGTCTGTGGGAAACGACTAATTTTTCTAGTTTCTTCTCTATAAAGAACAGTGACCATGGTGAATACTCGACAAAAAAAAAGAAAGATCCCCAGCAAAGAAGTCTTGAATTACGAGCTTCATGTCATAATGGAGGGAAGGATCACACTGATGAGAATAGAAATGCCTCTATTCAGTCAATAGGGCTTACTCCTCACACCAGTATGGGCATCAGGTCAGGAGGATCTGCCCCCTTGGCTCGTCAACTGGCAGAGGTGATCGAAGAAAAGTTTGGGGATCGATTACGACAGTTGGAAAAAGACAATGTGAACGTCCTAAGCCGGCTCAACGAATTTGTCGCCTCTGGCGACGGGTCGAGGGACTCATTCCTTTCTCGTGAACTCCCCGCCAGGGAGGCGGAAACGAAGGATCTGAGGAATCATTTAAATAACAAGGCAAAAAGCTCCAGGGCCCCAAAGCGACCAAGAGCCAACGAGCACCCTCTTAACGACCATTCCAAGAAGGCAAAGCCTTTAGCCCTGGACGACCTCTGGTGGGGATTGTCAAGACGGAGGAAGGGAGATGAGTCTGAGGAAGATTCAACCCTATCCACACGACGCCCAGGAAATGGGGGACCTATTGATGAACTCAGAGACTTCAGAAGACATCCCGTTAGGGAGGAAATTGATCTCAGAGCTCGATTGGAATCCAGGAGAAAGAGTAAGGCTGTCCAAGATGAGGTCGAAGATGAGGTTATACAAACACCCTTTACCAGGGATATCGGAGAGATGGAGCTTCCAAAAAATTTCGTCGTGCTGAGGATCAAAACTTATGATGGGACATTTCCAAATACTCCAAGATGAAGACACGTGTCCTCGGCATCAGTAAATTCTTGTTACTGTAATCACGACATGTACCCGTCAGATCACAAGTCTCTGTTCTCCCAAGGTACTGTTCATAGGGATCAATGACATCAATACGTTACGTACCGACACGTATCCCTCTGTCGGATATGGGTACATTGGTCCCTACATGTACCACTCCCCTCGGAACCGAGATGTACCCGTCCAAGATGACGTTCTCTGCTCCTGAAGAGGCTATTGATGTACAGGTCACTAGCTTAGGCTAGGCTAGGTTAGCCATCATGACCTCGTCTTACACAATTAGTGTCAGAAGGTACAAAAAGGCTGAAGACACAACCAATGGGGAATAGGCGTGTGGCACATTGTGTCACATCAGAGACAAAAAGACCGGATGCCCTTGCTAACACACGACTTGGGAAAGCAAGCATTTAATTACACCATTCCCTTGATGAGACAACATTTAATGCAGTAAGGCTCGAAAGTGAAAGGTAATAAATGTCCCTAAGACTGGGCATTTATTACATCCTTGCCGAGAGAAACTCATTAAACAGTCGGCAGGCCAATGACGCAGCCTTGGTTGCTCGGGATCCCGAGCAGTTAAAAGAGAAGACATTTTTCATAGGAATCAGTGCGCACGTTGCCCGTATCTAATGATCACCTATTGACCACACTGATAGCAATCATGAGTTTTTGAGGTATAAATACTCCTCAAAAAAGGCAAGACGATATGCAACGAAAAACCTTTTCTCAAACCTATACTCAGTATTTTCTTCTTCCCCTCTCTCAAAAACTGACTTGATCGTCAGAGGGGATACGCCGAAAAACACTCCGGCGCCCTTCTAACTTGTCTTTCTCTGTTCCAGGAACCTCCCTCAGCCTTACTGGACCGTTCCTTTGATCCACGAAAGTCACCCATAACCGTTCTAGGCCGCCAACGGATATCAACCTATTCCAAACAGCAAGGTTGACCATTTGACTGACTGACTCGAGTTCACCACGGGAGAGATCTGTTCTCGTGTTTATATTGTGCAAGATCCTGCACGCACAATTAGGAATACCAACTAGATTTTTATCTATATCTAGGTTAAATAAAGTGGGAACACGCACAAGAGTGAGAGCAAGAGTAAGAGCACAAGCAAAAAAAAATACAAACTTTAAAAAAAAATTAAGAGCGAAAACAATTTTCGAATGTCATATTATATACACACAGACACACATCCACTCATAAAATTATATTTAATTTTTAAACATATGTTGATTATAAGGTCATAAAATGACGATTATAATTTTTAAATATAATTCTAGTTTTATATGTATCTTGAGACATGCATTAGTATTTTTTTTAAATAAAAATTTGAGTAATAATGAATAAATATATAAGTAAGAGTACAAATTAATCAAATTCCCGAATGAAAAAATTAAATCTGCAAATTTTGTAAATGAGAGCGCAAATTCAGGAGAAATTGCTCCTAAAGCACGAATTCTCGCGCAAAGCATCGATTGTTTGCACAAGTTGTGTGAATAAGGTATGTATGAGCGTTGTCACTTAATAATTATGTATGATGTGCGTCATAAATAATATGTCAAGATTCAAATCTTATCGTTGTAGTTATTATTTTTACCAAAAAAACAAATAGGTTAAGGTAGTACAAGAACATGTTTGTCCGGTATAAACCCAGTGGTGTGATTTTCGCACTTGTGCTATGTTCATGTTACACAGGTTTCTTATTCATAGTTAGCAATGGGTTACGTTGGCCAATTAGCCCTTTTATATTTACTCATATTAATCTCTTAATATTATATTATAGTGAACATCAATGTATCTATAAAAAGAGTAGAAGGTACCCAGAAGGACACGATGAGAACTATGAAAGAGTGGCACAATAGAACACCAATGATTGATTATGTGACTTTTACCAGGGAGAATCTTAAAAAACAATCGAGGGTAGCCAAATTAAATCTAAGAAATCAAATCTTGCCTTTGGCATTGAATGGTTGTGTATCTTTTTTGATGGGAGAATCTTGAAATAATTTTATAAAAAAAAGACATGGATAAACAAACAAAGCTATATCTAATTGGTTGATTGGTTTTTTAATATTTTGTTTGTTGACAAGGAATAGGAGGTTCCTCGTCAATCTCACAAAATCTAAATCTATTTAATTTTTTTTTTAATTTGAATCCCATCTAATTAGCTAAATTAAGTTATACTTCACAAGATTAAGTTAAATTTTAATTATTGATTTCGATATAATTGAAAATAAAATTTGATCCAATAAGAGGCATATCTGTAATCATTCATCAACTATTAATAATGAGCTCAGATCTAACTAGATCAAGCCTAATTAATGACCTAGACTCAAATTAACTACAAAACAGGTCAAGTCTAGCTCATGAATTCAGCCTAACCCAAAGTTCAATGAGTCCAAGAAGATTAGTCATGTGGGGAGTAATTATCGGAATACCCACTTTCCTAAATTAAGATTATCTCTAATTGTACATATCCTAGTTGTAACTATCCCCCTCGAAAAGCTAATAACCTATACATCACACCACCGTTCAAGACTCTGTACCTATAAATTATAAGCCCACTTTACATGAGTGGGGCATCTCTGAATACATTTTTTACACGACCATCTCTCTTATAACTACATCTCTACAACTAGAGCTTACTTTTGCTCCTTTTCTTTCTCACCTGCTACCTTATCAATAAAATCTTTCGGCCACCGTTATCGCCTTCAAAAGTAGAATATGTCATATTGATCGAGTCACTCTATATCTGTGTATTACTTGTGTTGATCTCACATTTATATTTACTACATTTATTATCTATATTAATTACTCGACAGTTAGTACATAAATCCACTTTTATGCATCAACAACTACTATCAATTAAACTCGAGAGTCATTAACGACAATTAAATTTAGGAGGTATGAATCTAAGATTCTTCTTTATTACTCGTAAATCATTGAATTACTATTGCATACTAGTCTTTTTGTTTTTTTTTGGAGTAATATTAATCTACTAATCTATTGACACTAATTGTTGAGATTCGCAATAAATTTAATAATTGTAATAGATCTTATCAATAAATTTTGTTAATAAAATTAAATCAAAATAATAATAATATTTTTGAAAGCCTTCACTTAACTTTAAAAGATATACACACGATGCCAATGGTGGCAAATCAAGTGCATAACACGCATTTTCTCATTGCCCTTCGATGACTCCACAGCATAATGCCATGAACCAGAAAAGCAGCCATAGATTAAGGTATAAAACCCCTGTATGAACATGTGACCCCACAAATGGCCAAAATCTAAAAAGTAGGTCTCATAATAGCTGCATGTAAGCCACGTGTACCAGCTCCACACCCTTGATCTTAGCTATAAAAGAACACCATTAATAATCATAGCCAACGAGGAAGGCGTTGCAGTTATTTTGTTTCCATTTAGCTGTTGTCCATGTTAAACCACTAAATCTGAGACTAATTACCGGGTTAATGAACTCTTCCATCATTCTGGAATATGGACAAAGGGAAAAAAAAACACTATTCACGATTCAGTGCTTTTAGGATGTACGTATCACTTACCTGATCACAGCCGTTAATCTTGTCTACCAATAAAACCCAAGCCTTCCCTACCAAATCCCACTTTACTCTGCTCCATCCCTCACTCTCCTTTCTCTCTCTAAAAGCTGAACTGCAGAGACAATGCTGTCCCCCACCCCCATCTCTCTCCTCTGTGCTCTTCTCCTTTGCCTACCCCTTGCCATCGTCTTCACCATTACCACCTCTCCTACCACCACCACCGTCACATCCGAGAGCACCACCACCTCCATTCCTAGTTCCATGACCCTCTGTACTTCTACCACAAATAGAACTAGTTCACAATCAGTAGCCTCCTTTCAACCCTTGATCAAAACCATGCAAAAACCCATGAAAAAGAACAAAACCACCACCACCTCACCACCACAAACACCACGACCCCCCTTTCAAGAAGAAGATGATAACTCACTGTTCCAACTCGCCGGCCGAGTCAACCCAAACCCAAAATCCATCAATTCACCCAAGAAACTCGCCTTCATGTTCCTCACCACCTCACCCCTCCCGCTTGCACCACTCTGGGAACTCTACTTCAACACCACCCCCAAAAACCTCTACAACATCTACATTCACGCCGACCCGAGTTTCAACTACACTCAGCCGTTTCAAGGCGTGTTCACTGGCCGAGTCGTTTCCTCCAAACCAACTTCCCGATTCAGCCCGACCCTCATCTCGGCGGCCCGTCGATTACTCGCCCACGCGCTTCTCCACGACTCTTCTAATTACATGTTTGCCCTTCTGTCCCCATCGTGTATTCCATTGCACTCTTTCAATTTCACGTACAGAACTTTGACCAAGTCGAAGAAAAGCTTTATCGAAATTCTCAACCATGAGGGCGGCGCGTTCGATAGGTGGGCGGCGCGTGGACTTCAGGCTATGCTGCCGGAGGTGCAGTTTAAGGAATTTCGAATTGGGTCCCAGTTTTTTGTGCTAACCCGTCGTCACGCGAGGATTGTTGTCCGTGACAGAAGGCTTTGGTCTAAGTTCAAGCTACCTTGTTTAGATCGCACCACGTGTTACCCTGAGGAGCATTATTTTCCTACTCTTTTGAGCATGATGGACCCGCGTGGATGCGTGCCAGCTACACTAACACACGTAGACTGGAGGGGTCAACACGACGGCCATCCCCGCACGTATCATACTGATGAGGTGGGGCCCGAATTAATACGGACCCTTCGAATGGACATGCCAAGGTATGGAGATGATGGAACCAACGGGTCTGATTTGTCCGTGATGAAACGGCGTGACCCTTTTTTGTTTGCGAGAAAGTTCTCTCCGGATTCAATTGGGCCGTTGATGGAAATAGCGAATGACGTCATCTTCAAAAATTGAGATGGCACTTTTGTAAATTTGTTGATGTTCAAAGGTAAATGTAATTGTTATCTTTATAAGGAAAAAGGCGGGACAAACCCGGGCTTTTTTGTTGCTTTACGGTATGGTTGTGAGTTAACTCGGTCCATTTTTTTTTGACTTTGGGAATTTTTCATTAAGAAAAGATTTAATTTGCTCGTAAAGCGAGGACTCGGATTCTGAGCCACCGCGCTGGCCCACCGATTTCTGAGCCGTTTCGGTGAGTTCTTTGCACATGGACGCGTATTTTAGGCTCGCTTTTGTCATTTGGACAAGTGTAATTTGAATTTTTAATACCATTTTTTGGTAACTTTATTCTTTTTTTTTATTGCGGCGATAATTTATTTTTCGAATAATTGCTATTTTAATTGAAAATGTGATTACAATTTTTTTTTATAAAATTGTTTTTCGTTTCTGTCCAATTCGGTTTTTAATAAAATTTAAAGCACATTTTTAATTGTTTTTCTTTTGAAACCTATTTTATAGACATATCTCCACGTTGGAAAATATCGATTTAAATTTATTTTAATTTGAATAATAATAAGTTAAAAATAAATTAGAATTATAAGAAAAAAATAATGCAAAAATAATAATACATATCTTTGAGGGAATATTATATTCATTATGATTATGTTTCTAGATGATAAAAAAGATTAACAATAATCACAAATTTTAGATTTTGATAAAATTTTATTTAATTGGGATAACTACATTATGTCTAAGAGAGACGGGGGTCCACTCCTAATATGAATAGACTCATTAATCCCAAATGATGGGGGGAAATTTTACTCAACTCAGCACCAACACTGCTCATCGACTCAATAGCTCGTCATTGTTCATCGAACTTAGCTAACATTTCTTGTGACAATAAATATAAAAGTTGATCGCTATCACATTAATTAGATTATTAATTATAATTATATATAATTAAAAGTCAGTTTTAAAATTTTAAAATAAATTAATAGCCGTCAAATATGAATTTGTTACGGTAAAATGAATCGAATGACCATAATAATGTTATAATATTCAAATAATAAAATAGATGTGTAATATATATATATATACACCAGGAGAACTTGTATTTGAGGCACGGTGCATCTTAAAAAAGATTAAACATTGATTTGAACACGAAATAATCAAGCACTAAACTTGAAAACGTACTAAATTGAAAGACTAAATTTGTCTTATATTACGTGTCTTTGTGTATTGTACATAATTCTTAAACACGAAATAATTAAATAATGAATATAAACATGTATTAAGGTGAAAATCATTTAATTAATTTTAATGTCATGATTTTAATGAAATAAAAAAGGTCAAAATGTAGATATTTTGTCAAAAGGTTGATACTCTGTAAGAAACTTTCAATTTTTCGACAAAATATCCTCTGAAAACATGATTCCACAAATATATCAATTTGTCTACAAAAATTATATATGTCATAATCATAATCAAATTATGTCATATGCATACTAAAATTCAACTATGTACCAATTACTACAACACAATTCTTCCTACACAAACAACTATATCCATACTTGAAAAAGTGACAGACAGGACATAAAATTCTTAAAAAATTGAAATAAACTCATAAAATTTTTCAATCACAAATTACTTTTTTTTTTAACAAAAAAATATTTATTTATTTGCAAAAACAGAGTCATTACAAGAAACAAAGAAGGCATAACAGCCTAATAAAACCAAACTAAAATAAGGCACAAGCACCTTATCAAGCAAAAAGTCGAAGACTACCAACAAAAGCTCATTCAGTAAGTAAACCCATTCAGCTCAAAAGCTTAATTCCAGCTATCTTCCCCTCTTCAAAAATTTCAGCAAATCAACACTAAACCCCATCGACAAAGTTCCATTAGCCCTTATCATTAAAAACCACAAATTTATTTTTCCTTAACACAGGCCAACCTTTCTGATCATTCCCCAAAGCAGTAGCAACCTCACAAGGCATACGCAAGTCCACATAGTCAACAGAACGCCTAGACAGCACAGCTTGATCAACAAGTCTATCAGCCACCGAGTTTGCTTCATAGAATATATGGGTTAATTTGAAATGTAACCCATTTAAAAGCACTTTAATCTTTCTCAAGATACCCAAATACTACCAAGGGCAGTTACAAGTACCCAAAACAGATTTTATCAAGACCTGAGAATCACACTCAATCTCCAACCCATAACTTGATTGTGCGTGCAAGATCCTGCACAATATAAAAAATAGAACAGATCTCTCCCTTGGTGAACTCGAGTGAGCCAGTTGAGTGACCAACCACGCTGCTTGGAACAGCCTGCGAGGTCCGGTGGTAACCTGGAACGGCAACGGGAGACCCTGGGGGAGCGGAAAAACGATCCAGTAAGGCTGAAAGAGGTTCCTGGAACAAAGAAGAACAAGTTAGAAGGGCGCCGGAGTGTTTTCCGGCGTATCCCCTCCGACGATCTAGTCAGTCTTTGAGAAAGAGAGAGAAAGGAGAAAACACTGAGTGTGTATTGTAGTAAAGAGTTTTTTGTTGCATACCCGTCTTGCCTTTTGCAAGGAGTATTTATACCTCAAAAGCTCATGATTGCTGTCAGTGTAGTCAGTAGGTGATCATTAGGTACAGGCAGTGTGCGCACTGATTCTGATGAGGAATGTCTTCTCTTCTTAACTGCTCGGGGTCCCGAGCAATCAATGCTGTGTCATCGGGATGCCGACGGTACAATGTACTCCTCTCGGGGAGGATGCAATAAATGCTCTGTATTATGAGCATTTATTGCCTTTCATTTCCGAGCCTTACCGCATTGAATGCGGTCTCATCAAGGGAATGGTGTAATTAATCGTTTGCTTTCCCAAGTCGCGTGTCAGCAACGGCATGCGGTTTCTCTGTCTTCGATGTGATATCATATGCCACGCGTCCATCCCCCATTGGCTGTGGCCCTGCATTCCTGTACGTTCTGACACTAATTGTGTAAGACGAGGTCATGCTGAATAGCCTAGACTAGCCTAGGCTAATGACCTGTACGTCAATAGCTTATCCTGGAGTAGAGGAGGCGTCCAGGACGGGGTACCTCTCGGCACCGAGGAAAGGCTCATCTCGGACCCGAGGGAGGTATACCGACCGAGGTACCATATCAGACGAGGCTACGTGTCGGTTGTAAAATATACTGAATGCCATGATCCTATATGACGAGTACCTCGGGGGCGAGGACCTTTGCGCGCCGATGGTGCTTGATCTTAGCAACAGTGTTTTGGTAATACCGAGGACACGTGTCTTCATCATGGAATATTTCAGAAAAGTCCCATCAACTCCCCCTAGCCTTCGATCTTCTGACACCGGGGGCACGCGTCGTAAGGAGACGAAGGGTTTCCCAACAACCACAAAGGCTTCATCATTGCCTCGAGCCGCTTTCCCCGGCTTAGGATGTCGTGTGCATTAAATGCGCCTTTTCGTTTTTCGCGCCCAATGATGAAACTGCCACTATATAAATGGGGTTCCTCTTGCATTTTCTTGTTTCGCCATTCCGAACTTCCTCAAGAGAGCCTTTTCCTGAATCTTCGCCGGAGATCTCTTTCCTCTTCCATCGTCAACTGCCCATTCTTCCTTAAAGTCTTAAGGCCAGCAGACCCATCGTTGCTTCTGAACTTTCTGGAAGGAGTCGCCTAAAGTTTTCCAGAAAAAACTCCGTTTGGCATTCGGGTGAGTCCTAGTTTCTTTCTTCTTTTCTTCCTCCTATCCCTTTTTGTTTTCCGATGACTGGAGGTGTCTCCGGTTGATACTTAGCGACTAATCCTCGGGAAGCTTCCTCAGGGATTTTTAAGAAAAACACACCCTCCACTTTCTCACTTTCTTAGAGATGCCTCGTCGTCGCCCTGCTCCCGAGAATCCTCAGGCTGGTTCTTCGGGGTCGGGGAAGTATAAAGTAAAGGGTGGTGAGCAGATTAATAGGTTTAAGGTCAAGTACGGCATTCCCCCGTGCGTAGACATAGAGGATTATGACTCGGTGGTGCACTCTCCTACCCTCGGGGCCGAGGATGCTATGCCCTTTTATACCAAGGCCATAATAGAGGGCGGAATTAGGTTTCCTTTACCCCCTTTACTTCTACAGTTCCTCTCTCACTTCCGCCTCTTCCCCGGGCAGTGTTGCCTTAATGTCTTCAGAATAATTATGGGGGTCTTAGAGCTCAATAGGCGCCTCGGGGTAAATATTGGGCTGAACGATCTCCTTTTTTGTTATTCCCTCTTGAGAGTCATGCCTCACCAACACTTCTACCTCAAAGCCAGGGACCCCTCCATGTACCTTGTAACTCATCTTCCCGACTCGGACAAGGGGTACAAGGACGATATTCTTATTTTCAAGGGATCTTGGCAGAGAGGTGTTGGTCCCGAGTATAACGGCTTGTTATGCCCTCTGGAATGGAGAACGACAAGTACGTCGGTTCCTTCGGGTTTATTATTTTGTTCTCCAGACTTCCGATGTTCATGACTACTTTTTTGTTTGTGCAGATATCCCTGCTCGGGAAACAGCTCCTCCCCCTCGGTCGCTGGTGAACTTTGCCGACCTAGTCACGGTTTGGAGATTTACTGGTGACAACGGGTTCGGCCGGGCTGCCCACATCCTGCTGAATTACACCCCCGGGTATAAGAAATTTTCACAGCTTCCTCAGCCTTTTGAGCCTTCGCGGTGGTCTGAACTCTTCGATCAGGCGGCGAGGCAAGAGGTCGAGGAAAACTTGGAGGAAGACCCTGATCGGGCTTCGGAGGCAGAAGTAGAGGGAGTAGTTGAAGAGCTCGGGGTCAGAGAGGACTTTGTTCCTTCGGACGCCGAGGTGGGGACTTCGGGAGGAGATTTGTGGCCGGACTTCCAAGTTCTACAATCTCTAGACTCCGAGGACGCCCTCGAGGTCGCGATGTCCAGCACGCCTCGTATTGACCTGGGGTTCCTGAGGCAGAGGCAAGCTCTTGCTGCCGGGAGGGGTCGAGGATCGACCGGCGGCGCCCCATCTGCAGGGACCAGTTCCACCCCATCCTCAAGAGTTCTCAGTCGGGGTCAAGTGCGTGACCGGGATCCTCAGGTAGAGGAGGAGAGAAGGGTCAAACATAGGCACGATGGCCTCGGCA